ATGCAAAAAATGCAAAAAAAATGCAAAAAAATGGGCAATCTGCCTAGAGTAACGAGTTACCTTATATAGGGTAACAGGTTACCTGATGGGATAAGGTAATCGGTTACCCTATATAAGGTAACCAGTTACTTGATAAAAAAACCCGCCCAAAACGTTAAATTTGATAGGGTAATCGATTACCCTATTAAGGTAACTTGTTACCACTGAACCAGAAGCAGAAAATCAGTTTTGAAAAGCTGTTTTCAGCATCAAACAACTTCTTCAATCATCCATATGATCATGATATCAATCAAGCGCGGAATTATCATCAAGAAACAGTGATCAAACATCATGTAAACATAATCAAGCATTGACATCACAAATCACCAAGATCCAAATCATCAAAATGGATCAAAAAATAGCAAAAACCATGAATCTACATTGTGATTATCCAAATAAGTTCAAAACATAATTAAATCTAGAATTGCCAACCTTCAAAGCGTAGATTTGCTTTGGTGAGTGTTAATTCACTTGAAATTAGCATATCTAAGCAATAAACCCATAGATCCTTTAAGATCCATGAATTTTCTTGTGGTAGAAATGAAGAACAAGAAAGATCAAGCAAAATAATCCACAAAAAGCACTTCCAATCTAGCTTCCAAATTCAGATCCAAAACCAAACGGAAATTGAGTGATGAATTGAAGATAATGGAGATGAATGATGGAGGTTTAGCTCTAGAATTCAATGATTCCAATGAAGAATCAAATAACTCAAGTGAGAGAGCTTTAATGGAGGTTTTGGGTGTGAAAAAGTGGATAGAAAATTGAGAGCAAAATCTCAAGAATGAGTGTGAAATACAAAAGGCCACACAAAGCCATTCTACTTGAAAGTCCATAAATAAAAACAAGTAGCCATTACATATTATACCAGACCAACGAAACAAAAAAACATTCATAATACTCACACCAAAACCAGTATGATACATAGTAAACGCGCAACAGGTCCACACGCAACCTTCATGTCATGTGTGAGAACTACAAGTTGTAGAATTGCAAATTCCCCAAGGCTACCAAGATTAATTTCACGAGTCTTCACACAAAGAAAAATAAAACCAAAACCGTACACTTTTTCGACCCACATTCACTCCTAAAATGACCCGCGATACAACATGTTAAAACTGTACGCCTCACAAATCTCTAAAAAATCTCACAATGATTCACAACGCATCCCACACGTATCCAATTGCAACACACACTAAACACGGGCTACAAGAACAAATCAACGTAACCTTCAACCCCTCTTTACATACCCAAAACTAACAACATTAGTAGAAGCAACAAGACTTGCGTGACAACAACAAACCCCAACCTTTGCAAAACTTCACAAGAAAAGCCCAAATTTCATCTCAATTGTTTCCCAAAATACCCTCACTTCACCTACAAAAGGGGGCTTGCCTCTTCTACCGAAAAAAAAAGAAGAAATCCTCAACTTCTCCCTTCAACTTTCTTCAACAACAACAAACAAAAATCCTTCCTCATTCCTCACTGCTCATAAATTGCTTCTCCAAAATAACCTCAACTCCATTCAACCTTCACCCTCTACAACAGAAGAACCCAAAACTTCATCTTGAATCACTCAAATCACAACCATTCCCAAGTTCCAAACTTTGAAAAACAAAATCAGATAGACGAATGAGAAGAAGAGAATTGAGTTGGAAATGAATCAAATGAAATCAAAAATAAATCTGAGATACAAACCACAAACCTGAAGTTTGGAATCAAACGAAATAGGTTTTGGATGCGAGGAAGGTTGAGAATCGTTTGGATTTTTCTGTCGCTGAGTTTTCTCGTGTTTTGTAGATAATGTGAAAACTTGTTTTTTTTTGTTGGAATTTGTTAAGAAAGTATTATGTAGAATGTATTATCTAGTTCTTTTAATATTTCACTATCAATGTTTTGCTCTTATTTTATTTATTCTATTTTTGTATATCTTTTCCTTTTTTTTTTCCATTGTCGATTTTATTATGGTTGATGACAAAACCAAAAAGTGACCATTAGTCAAATTATTGATAAATGGTGATGAATCTGAGACCACTTCTTTTTTCTATTTTCATTTTTTCTTCTACATCTTTCTCATCTCGATTTTATTTTCATTTATCAATCGATGAAGTCTTTAGATTCGTAAACGTTAATTTATCGAAGTCAATAACCTTCACTATGTCAAATCTGTGGAAAATGACCATTTGGGTCATTTTCTATACTTTGGGATCGTGATAGGATATCTTTGATTAATCGACACGAGTTTATGATTAAGACGAGATCATTTGCTTTTTGGTCCGTGCGACACGATTAAATTGGAGAATAATCCTCAATATCATTTCTCTATCTTGTTTTTAGCACGAATATCAATTTGCGTGACCTCCTATAATTCAGTTTTTATCATAAGTTGAGCTACGAAGGTTTAGCGCTACATTTCATCCCGATTTAATTTACAAATCGACTAACTACTAACTTTATGTTCCGTCCATATACCATTGTTTTACTTTCAGTCAAATATACCCTTCTTTTAATTTCAGTCATTATATCTCGATTATATTATCTTGTTCATATTATTGTGGATATTATCTTAATTATATTGTTATATATCTTGCCATATTATTCATATTGTCATATTACTCATATTGTCATATTCATATTCATATTGTTCATCTCTTATTCACACATATCAAAAAACACATGATAATTATCGAAACGCTAAAAGCCTAAATTGGTGGGTTGTTGGATCATTGGACTTTGTCAGATACCCTAGTTAAGAGTTTGTCCGAATTTTGCTCAAGGCTTAGTTTAGGACACTTTGCACACACACGGCTTCCTCTTGGGCTACCTGACAATGAACCCTGTTATTTCGTGCAATCCCGTGTAACTTACATTTACCCCTCTCCTATTCTGATGTACTCATTCGTATTTCTTTGATTATGGTTTATCTTCTAGGAGCACCCTTAGGGACTAGCGTAGATTAAACCATTTTCAAACTAATTCTCGATTCGTCATCGAGCCATTTTCCAACACCCCTCGTAATTCAAGTGCTCGTCCGCATGCGCCACCTACCTATCACACACACTTTCATATTTCATCGTGGTTTCGATATTGGGAACACCCTCAGGGACTAGTAGCGTTTCTCACAACCTAACCCTTGATTCGTCGTCAAGCTGGTTCCATTTTCAAACCAAACCCTCGACTCATCGTCGAGCCATTTTCAAACCAACCTCCATTCCACCATGGTTTTACACGTGAGTATAAGTCAAACCCTTGATCCAACGTCAAGCGGATTTTCTCAATCAAACTATCAATACAATTAATAACTATCAAAACTCTTTTCAAGGTGAAAAGAGGGGGGTTGAGCCTTTGATCTCCCTTCAGTTGTTTGGATACGAGTTATCTTACTCGTGTGTGAGCAATTGACGCCTCTAAAACATTTCCCACTCAACCAACGTTCAACCATCGCCCAACCACTCATTATTCAAACACCATTCAAACACAACCTCTTTTCAAGATGAAAAAGAGAGAATGTCAAGTCTTTGACTCTTTCTCCCGATTACTTAGGCCTGAGGAGCCTTTCTTAAGCCTCGAGTAATCATCATCCGTACCAAACTTCAAACTCAATTCAACCCTTCATCTTTTTGTGGTCGTTACCACGAACTACGAACGCTCTGATTCTTCATTCTTGTCTGAATATAAGATACGTAGGCACAAGATTGCAATGATCTTGGAGAGCACAATACCCTCCATCTTCTTTTTCCCCCATATCCTTTCCCGTAGTCGAACTACGAGAGCTCTGATTTCTCATTCTCGTCCGAATGAGCATACGTAGGCACAAGGGCCCCAATCCTTGGCGAGCACCCTATCCCCTTAACCATCCATTTCCCCTTAGCATTCTTATCATTTTATCATATTGTTTTGCATTTATCATTGAGAAGAAAACAACTAAGCTTAGCTAACGTTCATCACAATTCAAATTAAGAGGTTCCCGTTGAGTACAACGGACGTGAGGGGTGCTAATACCTTCCCTTTGTGTAACTAACTCCCGAACCTTGAACATTGGCTGTGACGGACGTGTTCCTGTCCTTTTGTTCTAAAAGGTTTTCTCGATATTTTCCTTTCCCTCTTTTGGGGGATAAATAAAGTTAGGTGGCGACTCTATCAAATCTCATTTCCGCGCCTTTTGCGCGAGGGTTGTGTTTCTCAATTTATGATTTTCAAGGTGCGACAACTCCATTATTGGAAATTCCAAAGGTGATATACCTTTGTTCACAGTGATTATCAGTTGTTTTTTTGCTAATAGACACTTGCTAAGTGTTCATTATAAATGTTGGCCATGGGTTTAGATTGTTTATAGATCACTGGTTGTATTTTGTAGGAACTATATACGGGCTGACCCATTTTGCCAGGAAAAACTGAGGTATGATGTTTACAAATCTACTTTACATCACTTTTTAAATGATAAAAGTGATACTAATACTAGCATTGTAGGTTAATGAATGTATAAGGTATCTAAGATTTATTTTACTTCCTTGTAAGTTGAGCAGTTGCGTCAGATTTTTAAACTTTGTGGCTCACCGTCAAATTGAGGAACAAAAACTGCTGCTTTGAAAATCGAGGTATGCTGGTTTTGGTGTATACTTTCAACAAGTAATTATATAATCTAATTAAGATTTACTCATGTACTTTGTAGTATATGTTTCCTGCCGTTAAAATTCATAATATGTCTGATTTTGTATTTTGAACTTTTCTCCATTTTTTGTCAGTTATTCACATCAAAACCTTTGCCTTGTGATCAATCAAGTTTACTAAAATATCCTCTTAGCAAATAGATTGACACTAAAATACGAGATGAAGGTACCTGATTCGTCAAGTTTATCGAAGCCAATTGTCTTATCTGCATAGAACCTTTGTTAGTTATTCACATACACACTTTTTTTCCAGAAGTGTCTGTGCTACATAATAAGATCTAAAAATTCTTTATGAAAAATTTGCAACAGAGTTTGAAGAAACCAAAACTCTTCTGGGCTTCAGCAGCTGCTCCTTTAACATCAGTCATTCTGTCAACAATTATAGTCTTTCTTCTCAGAAATAAAACTCTTAAAATTTCAGTGGTAAGAAAAGTTTACTTGCTTCATCGTAACTATTTGATTGAAATATTGATCCATTTTTAATAACCGATTATATCTGTTTATTTTTCAGCAAATTGGACACTTATCAGAGAGTGTTAATACACCACCAATAAACCTGTTATACTCCAATGGTCCTTACTTGGCTCTTTCTATCAAAACAAGCATTGTCACTGGGATTCTTTCTCTCACAGTAAGCACTGCGTCGAGATTTTTCTACTCTGATATATCACATGATATTAACTGTGATTTTCTACTTACTTAACTGTGTGATTTACTCGTATTTGTCCAAATTATTTTATGTGTTTAGGAAGGAATTGTGGTAGGTAGAACATTTGCAACACTTAAGAATTACCAGGTGGATGGAAAGAAAGAAATGATGGCTATTGGTTTCATGAATATAGCTAGTTCTTGAACTTCATGTTATGTCACGACAAGATTGTTTTCTTGAATGGCTGTTAACTACAATGTTGGTGCACAGACTGTGGTTTCTAATATAGTCATGGCTTCGGATGTCCTGGTGACCCTTTTGTTTCTCATGTCGCTCTTTTACTATACGTCAAACGTTATCTTAGCGATTGTTTACCGTGAAAATTGGAAAAAACCACTGATCTTCCAAATCTAAATTTGATGACTCACTGGATCGATCAGATTGATCACAGGACATGTGCTAAAATTTACTTGAAAGAAACTACCTAAAACTAAACACTTCGACAATGCTTTTGAGAAAAAGGTTAATGTAAAGGTAAGGCTCAAATGAAATGAGAGGATGTGAATTTGTAGGAAACAAAGTCAAGAGTCTTTAAAACATTTAAACAAAGTAAAACAGAATGCAAGAAGAAAATGTAAATTGCAAGGTGTCGCTACTCGAAAAATGCATCGCGCAACGACGGGGAGGCGAAAAGGGATGGACAGAAGAGTCGCCACCGAATTTTATTTATCCCATGAGGGGAAAGGAAAATATCGAGAAATTCTAAAGAAATGGAAGGATAACATGGTCTCGCAACCAAGAATGGGTTCGGAGGCCGGTTATGCGAGGGGAAGGTATTAGCACCCCTCGCATCCATCGTACTCGATGGGAACCATTTGCTTGTCAATGTGTGATTATATCTGCTCAAATTTTATGCTATAAAAAATGTTTTCCAAAGGGTAAAGAAAGATGGTTTAGAAACTAAGAAAGGAGGCACAACGAGGAAGAAAAGAGAAATGACAGACTCGGTAGGACTTCGCAGTCCTATGCCTACGTATTCTCAATAGATGTGAGAAAGTCATAGTCGATGTAGTTCGGGGAACTACAAATATGGGAGAATGTGCTTGGCAAGGATTGTGGCCCTTGTGCCTACGTATCTTTACTTAAACGAAGTAAAGAATCAGAGCAGCCGTAGTTCGGCCTACGGTTTGTTGATATTTTTATGGGTGATGCTATCGTGCGCATTCTAGCAGTTTAGGTATTTTTGCTGCTCGCATGTGAGGAGACTTATGTGTTACCTGTTTGTGATAGAACGGACGTAACATATCCTTTTTGAAAGATTGATTAGTTTTCGCCATGCGAGGCAAGATGTCACGTTTGATTGGTTGAATTGTTTTTAGGGGCGAGATAAGTCCTTAGATAGTAACTGTCGCTACTGCGAAAATCGGCGCCGGCTGAACAGAAGAGTCGCCACCGCGCGTTATTTATCCCACGGGAGGGAAAGGAAACGCTCAGAGTAAACCTCGCACAACACGGGAAAGGTATGGTCGTCGCAACCAAAACCTGGGTTCGGGAGTCGGTTACGCAAGGGGAAGGTATTAGCACCCCTCACGTCCATCGTACTCGATGGGATCCACGCTTGTTTTCGGGTATGGATTGTTATTCTATCTAAACTATAGGTCAAGGGTGAAAAAGAAAATAAAAATGACTCGGCAAAGTATCGCACTTTATGCCTACGTATTCCCGTCCGGAACGAGAAATCAGAGTCAACGTAGTTCGCCTACCTACGGGAAAGGAGGGGAAGGTTGCTCGCTAGGATATCGCATCCTATGCCTACGTACTTTCATACAGCATGAAAGATCAGAGCAAACGTAGTTCGGGCCACGTACGACACAAGTCTGTCTTGGTTGATTTTATTCCTTCTGAAAAAGGTTTTTTCTGATTAATAGTCCAAGCGGACAAAAATGACGTTTTGATGAGTTCACATTCTTTTACGGAAGAAGTGTCTTTTATTGTGTTTGAAATCTTTATGTGTTTTTCTGTTTGTTTTGAGAAAGAAAGAGACAGAACTCTAACCTACGGTTGCAAAGGGAAACAAACTAACCTAATGTTATCATGCATGGGTTAAGACCTAGTGTCTATCATGCTCCTCTCTTGCACAGAGAGAAACAGAGATCCTACGGGATAAGCAGAAACAGAAACAATAACAGATATAATAAAGCGGTAAAATGCATGGATGCAACAGTACAAGCGAGGCAAGGGAGTCCCACTCAACCTCGAACCTAGAAAACAATAGGCAAAAGTGAACAGACTTCACTTTCAACCCAACAGGGTAAACAACAAACAATACAGTCCAGAAAACCAATCAATACATCAGCAATGAAATACAACAGCAAAAGAAACAGCATCAGCAGCTCTGAATCAACATCTGGCTTCAAGTAATCTCCAACCAGTTACAGGCTTCAACAAGCATCAATCTCCATCTTCATGGCCTTCAGGTAAGGGCTTTGATCATCTGTCTTCCATCTGCAATGGCTTTTCTTCAAGCTCAAACCTCCAGGATGAGGGATCAGTCACAAGAGTGAATTGTGTGTTAAGCAATCAGTTGACTACCAAGGGTGGTGAACAGACTGCTTCTAACACAAGAGACATTTTCTCTCAAGAGTTCTATCTCTTAGACACTATCACCAAGCCTTCCAAAGGAAGGGGGTGAGTGTCTTAGAGAGACTCTGAATCACAGAGAAGAATGGATGCAGACAAGGCAATCCATGTTTGAGAAACAATCTTTCTAGTCTAGAGCTCTGCCTGGCTCCTAAACCCTAGTTCCTCAGCATCTGCTAGCAAGAATCTCCTCCTCAACTCTGACAGTTGATCTTCAGTCTCTGGATCTCCAATGGTCTTCATCTTCACAAGACTTCAACTCTCCAAGGCCCCAGACAAACCCAATACCCAAACAATCAAGCAATAATCCCCAGAGGGCATACCACACCAGACAACAGATATACAGACAGAGTATTAATAACAGTAGGGGAATCCTGACTTTTCTCTGAGGGATCTAGTAACTACCCATAGCCCCTATAGTCCCATAACTAATCTAGTTAAATCCTAAGTCCTAAGGGAAATGAAATCAAACTTCTTAAGTTGTCACCTAAAACCCTAATTTGTTCATGTTGTTCACACCTACACTAAGCACCTAAGTTTAATTTCTAAAAAGGGAACTAAATTGTTTCTACAAGTTGAATATCTCATCTAAACAACCTAAAAAGAATGACCAAAAAATATTAAAGCATGTAAGAGAACAAAAATTATTAAAATGATGCATGAAATGAAGCTATTTAATATGACATTTATTTAGAAAATATGGAAAAAATATAGAATAAAAATAAAAATGCAATTTTATTTACCTATAATATTCTAGACATCCTAAAGAAAATATTGTAAAAAGAATGGATTGAAAATGAATTTTTATGAATTAGTTATGAATTAATGAAAATTGGTAAAAATTAAAATGAATTAAGAAATAAAATGAATTAAAAATGAGGGAGGGGGGTTGGAATAGGAATTCGCTCCAGTTATAATCAGAATGGGCCACATAGCCAGGGGTGCGCATAGCATTTTTACCAAGGCCCAGAACCAGCTCAGAAATAATGAGAAATAAAAAAAACGCTGGGAGGTGAGAACAGCATCAGAATTACGTTGAAATTGCATTGGGCCTATACACTGGGGGTGGGATTAGCAACTAGCGCTCAGGCCCGCCCGTTTCAATTAATGAAACGGTGCGTTTTGGCCAACTCCAATTCCCTCCCAAAATCAGATTAAACGAGAGCCATTGGATTTCCTTCTAAGTCAAAAGTCCAACACGCATTGAACGGACCAGATTATGTCTTCCTCCCTTGGATCTGAAACTTAGGGTTTCAATCACCATGAACTCCCATGCACGCTCCAATTCGAGCTCTCGGTTCTCCATCACCAGGCCATGAATCAACATGCTTCCAACATGAAAGATGCTCGGAATATTTCCCTCTACAATCCTATAGCACTAGATTGCTTTGAAATTCAACACATCAACAAACCCGCGCGCCACAAACTCTGGTTATCATGAGATTACTCTGAGATGCACCATCACCATTCTCCCTCAAACTTGCACTAAGCTAACCTACGACTAATGGTAATTAATCTGCACTATCAAGCTAACACTCTAATGCCTTAATCTAAGAGATTCAAGCCCTAACAGTTTATGGCACCTGCTAACAAATGTCACCAATCCTCTCCAAATTCATCCTAACTGTTCTCCTAACCACCTAGATCAAATCTAAACTAACAACAACATGCCTAACTAACTGAATCGAGCAATTTGAATGAAAACATACCTGGTGTAAAAGCTTGAAAACAGCTATGGAACTCGTGGATCTGAAGCTTCTAGGTGTTGGATCTTGATCAATCCTTGATGTATGTGATTCTGTATGCAATTCCTTGTTGATTCTTGACTTGAATTATGCTGTCCACTTGAAACTCCAATTTTGATGTTGATGAAAAAGGTGCTCGAAAATGGATGATAATCACCAAAACTTTGCTTCAATTCTGATCTAGGATGATGATGGAGCAAGATTGAATTGATGTGGATGATGATTTTGTGAAGAATTTGTGAGATTGGAATGAAACTTCAAAGAGAAAGAATGAGAGAATTTTGTGAAATTCTTGGTGCAAATGAAGCCAACCCTTGATCAATGCACATTTCATGAATATATAGACCCCATATGAACATTCTAGATCCATCTTGCACATTCCCTTGCTTTCCAATTTTGATCCATTTTGATTATGTTTCTTCAATTACAAGTAACCAAAGATAACTTTCTTTTTTCCTTCTAAACTCAAAAAAGTGTTTGAACCATTGTTCTTAGAATTGTTTTTCCATTCAAAATCATATATTGGAAGTCTCCATTTGGATTCATAAATCTCCCAAACCATTTTCCATCTTGAATTTATTCACTTTATAAGCCATTTTAGTTCATATTTTGACCAATTATGCAACTTCATGTTATGAGCTTCTCCAATAATTTGTGACCTTCTTTCTAGACTTAAAATCCCATTTGGAGCAAGTTTGATGTTGTAAGTTTTTCCATTTGAGGCCTCCTTATATGAGTTTTGGACATAGGTTAAAATGACCTGTAATTCACAAATGCCCAAAATACCCTTTGCTTGCCAAGACCATAAGTTGAGTTCTC